ATATATGTATATATATATATATAGCTGCAGCCACGATTGAGCGGTATGCGTCAGAATGGTGGCACAACACCCAGGCCCGTCCTGAAGCTGGGGTTAAACACAAAGATGCCATCGTTTTGAGCTCACTCTCCTCTGCGTTTCGTGCTGCCCAAGATTCGGCGCTGAACTCTGTTGGTAAATCTTGGGCTGCTCGAGACAAAGGGCCGTTGAGTGATGCAATTTTGTGGATTCTCGAGGTAGGGTGGACGATAGACAGTCCCTCCACCTTCACGACCTACCAAGGCGATACGTTGGTCCTCACCGAATGCCCCCCGTCGGTGGTCACTCAGACCTTTGTCGAGGACTTAACCAGCCAGAAGATTGCCGCAGTATTTCGGAAGAGGCTTGCGCCCTTGTCTCACCCCGTTGCTCGGCAGATAGAAGCAGAAGGATACTGGCTGTATGCAAGCAAAAAGGTCCTCCACGGGAAATCTTTGCCCGATGAACATAAGCATCTTTTTAAACAGGTTATTGCAGGGACCCTCCCCACTTGTGAAAGGCTCCACAAGTGGGGCTACGATCTTTCGCCTCTCTGTGTGTTCTGTCATGTGCCAGACACACCCTTTCATCGTATATGGGAGTGTGTCCATAGGGCTGCGAAACGCCAGGAAGTATTTAGTCCAGAGTTGATCCAGGACGCCCTGGAAGCAGGCCCCGATCACCCACTCTTTGCTCACTTTCTCCAACCTGCCCCCTCCATTCCAGAGGGGGCCCAAGACTGGGATTTAAGATTTGTGGATGCTCGCTCTAACGCAGTCGACCCATTCCATTTCCCCCCAGAGGCTTTTATTTTCACTGACGGGGGATGCGACAATCCGTCAAATACGGAACTAGCTCGTGCAGGGGTGGCGGAAGTCGAAGTCGACATTGAGGGTCCCTCGAGATTTCCCTCAATCACCTGGAGATGCCGAGCATGCAGCAGTGGCCTTAGCGATGCTCCGATCGCTCGACCCTGCTAGTAACACGTATCACTACGATTGTTCTGCCCTGGGCCAATTTGTCACTTGGACAGAGAAAGCTCTTGCTGGTAGAACCCCACAAGCCAGGTACTGGAGGCCAGCTGCGCGTACGCTCGGTTCATCACCCATCCCTGCCATGTGTAAAGTGAAGGCCCACCTACCAGAGGGAGAGGCCCAAGATGATATTGCCTTATTTCATATTAAAGGCAACTCACTTGCAGATCACTTCGCGGGATTGGGAAAGAGAGCGCACGGCCTACCACAGAATACGATAGACATCTACACCCAGGCTCTAGCCGAATACGAGAATTTAGTTATAGGAGCCTGTGCTGTTTTACATGTGTGGCCGAAACCCAAGAAGATTTTCGGGCAGTTGGCCAGGCCAAGGAAGGCACGCCGCCCCAGGTCCCAAGGGAAACCTCACCATCCTGTCTGGGACTGCAAAGCTTTCCGCTGTCGTATTTGTCTCCGCAGATGCTCCAAGCAGAGTACGTTTGCATGTGAAGCCCTGGCCCCAACCCTAGCAGAGCTACTGCGTAAGGGTGGAGGGAAAGGGCACCAGCTTCACTCAGCTCGAATCCAAGGAAGCGAGCTGCCTGTCATTTTCTGCGTTCTCTGTGGAAGGTTTGCTACACAGAAAACTAAAGGCCTGCTGGAGATTTGCCCCCGCCCAAAGAAGTCAGGGGAAAGGAACAAGCTCCTCAGAGGTCTATTGCCTGGCACTTCCCTGCTGTTGGGCCCTGCTTTCCCCCTCTCGTTCCTCTGGTTCCCCCCTGCCCCTCCCTTTTCCCCTGAGCCCCAACTGCAGGAGAGCAGCCACCAGCCTCCGCGAGAGGCCAGAGAGATGGTTGCGAGTGCTGCTGCCCCTGCAGAAAGCCAGGAGCAGCCACGCATCCTGCCCACTCAAGATGTGCAGGCCCCTCCAGAGGAGGAAAACTAAGCCCTCCCGCGGCCTGCTGCCCGTGTAAGCTCTGTTTTACCGTCGGGCCCCGTTTTGTTTCCTGGTCCTTGCTGTGCCCGCGTTCGCCACTGTCGAGGTTCTTCCTGTTTGCGGCCGTGGCCAGCCTAGACCAGGTCAGGTAGCGGCAGCCCGTGACTTTGAGCTCAAAGGATGAGGTTGAAGCGGGGATGGGAATACCTTTTCGGCTGCCGCTACCGATCACTGTTTTTGTTTGCCTTGGGAGTGGCGGCACTCCTGTCAGGGGATTGTGCAAAGGCCTAGCCGTATGATCACCCTGGTCAAGTCTTGAAGGTCTTGGAGGATACGCAGGAGCAGGAGGAGGAAGAGGAGCTAGATAAGCAGGAGGTGCAAACAATAACGGCTGCAGACAAGCAAACGGAACATGTCGCACGCGCGTCAAAAGAAAATGTGGCTTCAATCTCTCACCGGATTCGTGGATCCCTCAGGTTGCTTTCGATCTCCGTCTGAGGCCTCGATATGGCTCCGCCGTGGCTCACTGATAGAGTACCCTCAGATGAGTAGCAATACAAGAACCCTAACCCTTTAGGAGGGGACCTAAGTTTGGAGAGCCAAAACAAATAGGGATATAGGGGGCTTTTGTGCGGATGTACCAAGCCAAAAGCGCCCAGATTTAGTACCCCCCGTGCGAAGCTGGGGACCCAAGCGAGGCCAAGAAGGGCAGCAAAGGCCCCCAAGAGCGCCCCTAGAATAAGAGAAATCGCCAGAAAGATAAACTGCTGTCGCTCCGCGCGGCGTTTCTGTCTTTTCGTTTGCGTTTCTGGCGCTTCCGCCCAGCGCCAACAGAACATGTTTACGGCGTTCTTCCCCGGGCCCCACGAGACGGTTTCGACGGCTCCAACCCAAAGATCCGATGCCGTGATTTTTTCAGTACGGGCCCCCCGGAAATCTCAACCCATTCCCCGGGACCGGTTTCTCATCCTGAATCACTTTTTGAGGGTCCTATGGGGCCCGACGAGGGCCCCTCGAGGCCGCAGGCTGCGAAAAACCGATGTTTTGATGCTTCACTGCGCTGCATCTCTGGGCTTATGGCGTTTGTGGGTCTGCGGTCTGCACGGCTCCAACGGGTGTGCCCTCGCGTGGCCGGGCCGCCGCCATCAGCGCGCCCGCCAGCGCCTCTCTCCGCCCGCCGCCCCGCGCGAGCGCTCCCGCGCGGAGGACGGCCGCACACTCAGGCCCCCGACGTCATGACCTTCCCGTAACTTCGACGCCAAGAAGTCCCCAGACCCCCTCGCGTTGTCAAAAAATCGCAGCCGGAGGCTTTTCCACGGATGAGAGAGCGCGGTCCGCCGCCACTCTGCTGTGGAAAATTGCCCCCCTCTTCCTCCGAAACCGGGGGGTCGTCCCCCCCCCCCCGACAATCCCCCCCCCTGCTGGAACCCCTCCCCCCCTCCCTTCCCCCCGACAAAACCCCCCCTCCCCCTAACCCCTCCGCCCCGCCCCCCCCCCCCCTCCGGAAAACCGGGAAAGGGTCACTACCGGTTCGAACCCCCCTCGCCCCCCTTCCAGAAAACCGGGGGGGGGGGTCACTACCGGTTCGACCCCCCCCCTCCATAAAACCAGGGAGAGGGGTCACTACCGGTTCGAACCTCCCCCCCCCGAATCACCGCCGGCAAAAGACTCCCGGGTCCCCACCACCGTCCGCACCACATCCCCCACTGCTGTCGCCAGCACCACTGTCCCCACCACCACTGTCCCCACTGTTCCTGTCTCCACCAGTGCCCCCACCACTGTCACACTGTCCCCACTGTCCCCACCACTGTTCCCAGTTCCCACCACGGTCCCACTCTCCCCACTTTCCCCGCGGTCCCCACCACTGTCCCACTGTCCCCACTGTCCCCACTGTCCCACTGTCCCAGTCCCCGCCGCTGTCCCACTGAGCTGTCCCACTGTTCCCACCACTGTCCCCACTGTCCCCACCACTCGCCCGACTGTACTACTGTCCCATTGTCCCACCACCGTCCTCACCACCGCCTTCACCACTGCCCCCACTACCACTGTCACCACCACTGTCCCACTGTCCCCACCACATTCCCACTGTCCTCACACCTCTGTCCCCACCACCACCATCACCGTCCCCACCACTGTCCCAGAGTCCCCACCACTGTCCCACTATTCCCACCATTGTTCCCGCTGTTCCCAGGAGTGCCCCCATCAGTGTCTCACTGTCCCCACACTCCCCACCATTGTCCCACCACGGTCCCTCTCTCCCCACTTTCCCCACGGTCCCCACCACTGTCCCACTGTCCCCACTGTTCCAACCACTGTCCCACTGTACCCACTGTCCCCGCCGCTGTCCCACTGTGCTGTCCCACTGTCCCCACTGTACACTGTCCCACTGTCCCCACTGTCCCCACCACTCTCCTCACTGTGCTACCGTCCCACCACCGTCCTCACCACCGCCTTCACCACTGTCCCCACCACTACGGTCCCCACCACTGTCCCACTGTCCCCACCACTGTCCCGCGTCCCGCTGTCCCCTCACCACTGCCCCCACCACCAGTCCAATCCACTGTCCGCACAACTGTCCCACTGTCCCCACACCACTGTCCCCACCACTGCTGTCCCAGCATCCCCACCACTGTCCAACTGTCCCGAGGAGCGGGAATCGTTTGCCGGCGGCGAGGGGTGGGGGGCGGAGGGGTTCGAACCGGTAGTGACCCCCCCACTTTCATGATGGACGGGGGGGGAGAGGTTCGAACCGGTAGTGATCCCTCCCGGTTTTCGAGGGGGGGGGGGGGGACGGGCTGGAAACCCCCAGTGACCCCCCCCCCGGTTTTTCTGCCAGCACAGGTAGAACACGCTCTTTCCTATATTTTCAACCTCTTGGGGCCCTCGCCGGGCCCCAAGACCGCCAAAAAACGACGCAGGATGGAAAACCGGTCCCGGGGAATGGGTCGAGGCTTCAAGGGACCCCGCATTGAAAAAATCACGACATCGGATCTCTCGGGAAGTCTCGGCCCCTTCCCCCCAGGACGCGCTTCGCATCCCGCCCGCCCGCCAGGGCGGGCGGGCGGCGCGTC